TACGCGACTCGTATACGAGGAGTATACGAAACAACTGTGCAGCGCGCCTGCGACGCATCGCACACGGATGAGCAACGTATTCGAAGCGTTGGGGACACGCGTGTGCAACGTTTTTGAAGCGTAACGGGCACGCTCGCGAAACTTATGCGACACGGACAAGGACCTTACTTGCAATGTATATGACGCGTGTGTGCGCGGTGTGTGAAACGTGTACGAAACGTATGCGACCCGTAAACTCAACGTATACGGCACCTAGAAGGTGTAGCACATGGGTTTGACATAAGCGAACCGTATGTGCAATTTGTGTGCAACGAATGCGACGCACACGGAACATACCATGAACCGCACGCGAAACGTGTGTGAACTGTGTAGTAGGCGATGTTGTGTTTGTGCTTTTCACGTATATCGAACGTACATGAAACATATACGAAAACCACATATGATGTGAACGAAAAGTATAATACCCGTGTGGTACGCACATGGCACGCACAAGAAACGTGCCCGAAACGTATACGCAACGTACACATAACGTATACGACGCGTGTACAGCAGGTCCAGCAAACGTATACGAAACTTATACAACACTGCGTACGAAACGCAAATTTAACAACACCAAGCGTACAGACACATGTAAATGAAACGTACACGAAACGTCCACAACACGTATCTATACAATGCAAATGCAACATCAACGAAGCGTGTACGAACCATGTGCGACATGTACAAGATTTGTACATTGGGCGTATGCGATATTGTATCTGTGACGTATATGTCACGTATTTGGAATGTAAGCGGGACGCACCTGAGACGTACATGACACATGTACGACACGTGTGCTAACTGTATACGGGGCGTGCAATAAGCGTGTCATATACGTACATACGTGTATACGAAAAGGTACACAACACTTGTATTAACCGCGTATGAAACGTGCATGGGCAATCTGTGTCATGTACGCGACACGTGTATGCAACGTGTGTAAAATTTGTACGAATCGTTGACGCAACGTATACGACATGTGGACGGGACGCACCTGAACCGTTTCATGCAAATAACGGCGGCTATATCCACCACCGTGCCGCTGGGCACGGATTGGGCGTGTCCTCGAGTTCTCTGCCTAATCCTCTGAACCTTACTCCTCACTCATGAGGAGTCTTTACGGGACCCGTACCCCTGGCTCTCAAATCTCCCGGGGCTTGGCGCGTGACCTCTGGGCTCCCCCGCAACTTGCAGGGTTATTTCTGTTGGCCAAAGAAGGCCCCCAAACGGGTCGAAAAAACGTCAAAAGGGGCCCAGGACGGTCCGAGAGGGCCCCGAATCACCGAACGATCGCTACAAGACACGCAATATGGCACCCAGACAGCCCAGGAGACCCCCTATGACGCTCCGGGCGGCCTCCGACTGGCCTCCCACAAGGGCCCCAAGAGGCCAGCATCATTGTTTTTATAAGAAAAATGTTTGAATGATTTTGGCGAAGAGGGCCCCCAAACGGCCGACGAGGGGCTTCAACACGACCCAAGAACTGCCCAAAACGGCGTAGGCGGTGGCGGGATGAGCCGGAGGCCATTCGATAAACCTTCAATGGGTTGTACAGGAAACGTGGGCGACACGTATACGGAATTTATACGACATGTAAGCGGCACGTATAGTACACGTATACAAAACGTATACGACAAGTGTATGGCACTTTTATACATAAATATTTGAAACGACACGGTCAGCATACACAACGTATACGAAACGTTTGGTAAACGTATACGCGCGTATACGCAACGTACAACAAACACACAACACGTATAGAAACCGTATACGCAACGTCTATGCAGCGTTTGCGAAACGCATTTAAACGTACGAATCGTGTGCTACGTATACGATGCGCACACGAATTGTATGTGAAACGCGAACGAATCGTACATCATACGTTTCTGAACACCACACACCATACATGTAGCACGTGCACACATGCACACGTATGTATACATTTGCGTGTCTATGTATGTGTAGTTACATTTACCCGTATACGTATACATATATGTATGTATGTATGTATGTATGTTTCTTCATATATATATATGCCGTACATCCACCGCATACGACACATATGACAAACACGCACGAAACGTAATTCACACCTTTACGGCCTGTGCACGAAACATGCACCAAAACAATGCGACACGTATACGAAACGAATGCAACAGTTACATACCCGTTTGCGAGACGTATATGGCACGTGCACGGGACGTACGCAACACGTATATAAACCGTGTACATAACGCTAAAGGAACGTATGCGAACGGTCTTTGGGACGTACACAATGATATACAACATCATCTCTACGAAACGTACACGAAACGTTCTGTAAACGAATACAACACGCACGCGCCACGTATATGGAACGCATACAATACAGATCCAACGCGTACCCGAAACGTATATATTTTTCCTTCAAAAAAAAAAAACGCCCACAACGCACGCGGACCGTATAGGAAACGTGCGCAAAAGGGACCTCCAGGTTCCTTTGGGTTCCTTAATGTCAGGATCCCCCAAGGCCCCTCAAGTTCCCCAGGCTTCTTCACTCCTCCTCATCTCATGTATTGTTGTGCTATATTTAATTATGACAATTTCGTGCTGGCTCCCCAGAATTAGTCATCCAACACCCATTCGGATTCCTTAAAGCCCACAGGGGTCCATCGGGATCCATAAGAATCGTTCGGAACTTGTATGGACCCCCGTGATCCCTCATGAATTTAAAAAGAACCGTTTGGAAATCTTGTGGGTCCCAGGAGAGCTTTCGGAATCCTCCAGAATCCCCAGAAATCCATAGGACTCCTCCGGAACCCGCAGAAATCCATAGAAATCTCAAAGACTCCGTACGAACTGCTAGGACTCTGGAGCAAGATCTTGCGGGAATCCAAAAGAATCCATCGGAACCCTTCGGAATCGGATCCTGTAGGAATTTGTGAATCGCCATCGGACTTCGGAGGCATCGTCAGGAATCCGGATGAATCCCTGGGGTTCCTGAACAAATCAATAGAAATCAATCGGGACCCATCGTGTTCCCTTAGGAATCGTCAGGCATCTGCATGGATCATTCTAATCCTTCGGAATCCGTCGGGGTCCTTCGGGATCCATCGGGAACTACATGAATCATGAAGAGTCCCATCAGGACCCCTTTGGAATCCTCAGGGGTCCGTTGGAACCCAAAAGACATCCACAATTTTTCAGAATCCCCAGCAATCCCACCCGCACAAAAAAAAACGCGAAAAATCCGTAGGAATCCATCGGGATCCTCAGGAATTCTCAAAATACAGAGGTATCCCCAGGATTCTTCAGGAACCCATGTGAACTCTTAAAATTTCCAAACGAAAATCTAGGAATCCATCGGATATACCTATCACCACATTGGAAGCGCGTATGAAACGTATATGAAACGTAGCTGACGTATGTGAAACGTTTACAACATGTACGTAGATGGGATATACCATGCGTTTGATATCACACGCGTATGCAACACATACGGCACGTACATAAAGACATATACACAACGTGTACTGCACGTGTACGATGCCTATACGGATCGTCTATGCACTTATATGTGGCGTCCATAAAACGTATACATCACGAATCCGAACATCGATTACTCGTGCATCTACTGTAAACGAAACGTATACAGAGCGTATTTGCGTCATGTAACCCGTGCACAACACGTATCCGGCATGTCTATACTATCTATACGGCGCACGTATATGACACGTACTTGGTACGCCAATGGGATGTATGCGTAACGTACCTTCCACGCATGGGAACATACATGATATGTACTCGAATGGGAACCATACGTGACGCGTATTATTAATAATCTGTTACGTATATGACACGCACATGCGCAGTACATGGGCGTGCACCAGATGATGCAATTATGCTTTCTGGTACGCATTTATACACGCAGCTTTTGTATACATATGTACAGATACACGATATGCACACACATATATGTATAACGTATACAGTACAACTACGGATGTTCTAGGAACCGACAAATCAAACGTAAACGCAACGCGTGTGCGGCGTATCCAACATGTATGTACAACGTAGACGGGACGCGTCTGACACGCACACAACACGTAGCTTGAACGTATACATCGCGTATACAAAAACACTCGCGAAAACATGCGCAACATAATTCTCACCCCCCAGGATCATGGGGAATATCTGCGAATCCACAAAATCCCATTGGAATCCGAAGAATCCTCTGGGTTCCATATGAACCCGAAAGAAACTTCAGGAATCTGCAGGAATCCATTGGAATTCTTGAGGACGCATCCCCTAAGAATCCCCAGGCCCTTCGGGGAACCGTAGGAATCCTTCCGCAATCCTCAAGAATCTTTGGGAACACCTCGGAACCACCAGGAATTTCCAGGACCCCGTAGGAACTGTTGGGGATCCTGTGGGACCGATGCAATCCTCAAAGGCGGTCAGAATTCTTCAACAACCCCGTGCAATCCGTAGGCACCCTTAGGATTCCTCACGACTCCGTAAGAACCCATAGGAAGAGCGGAACCCGTAGGAATCATCAGGTACCTGAAGAAGTGAATCCCCAAGAGTCTATGGTCATCCCCGGGAGTCCCTGCAGACCCCTGTTACTACCAAGGATTCTGGGCGCACGCAGGGAGCGGTCAACCCTACTACTACTACTACTACTACTACTACTACTACTACTACTACTACTACTACTACTACTACTACTACTACTACTACTACTACTACTACTACTACCGCCGCTACCACCACCACCATTACGACTGCGACTACGGCTGGTGCTGCTACTTGGACTACAACTACTACTTCTATGACCGCTATACTGCTACTACTACCACCGCCGCCTTCTACCACAACTAGCACAAGTAGTGAACGTGCAACGCCAAGAGGGCTGCTAACCGCCGCTGTCCTTCTTCCCCTCTCCCGGTGGTGCTTCCCCAGCGTCGCACACGCCCAGGGGCCTGGTTCAGCTGCTCCGGCAGCGCCACCACAGCGCGCGCTTCCCCGACGCGGGCACACAGCAACTGCGGGCCGGGGGGGGTGCGTGGAGACACCCAACTCTACACATGCACCCACAGTTTTAGGCAATTTTCGCGGGTCCTCCCTCGTCATCCTCTCCTTCAGTGTCCTCCTTTTCTCCTCCTCCTGCAGTTCCCACCCTCCCTTTATTTCCTGCTTCTGCTTCTGTTTCTGCTCCTGTTCCTACTTCGACTCCTGCTTGATCCCCCAACCTGGTGCGCTCCACGCGCAGGGTGGGTGGGTGCAACGCCGAACAAGCTCTAGGTGTCCTCCTCCTCCTCCTCCTCCTCCTCCTCGTCCTCCTCCCTGTTTTCCTCCCGCGCTTCCTCCTGTCCTGTGCTCTTCCTCGCCCCTCCTCCCCCTTCCTTCTCCTCCTCCTCCTCTTCTTCCTCTTCCTCGCCTTCTCCTCCCCCTACTCCTCCTCCTCCTTCCCCCCTCCTCCTCCTCCTCCTCCTCCTTCCCCTCCTCCTCCTCCTCCTCCTCCTCCTCCTCCTCCTCCTCCTCCTCCTCGTCCCCCTCTTCGTCCCCCTCCTGGTCCCCTGCTGCAGCGGGCAGCGGCGGCGCCAGATTGTCCCGGTTGCGCGGGTCGGCCGAGATGGCGCGCAGGTGGCCCTCGTGCGCCATCCGCCTCTTCGCGCGCGCGCGCGCCCGCGCGCCCTGGCCCAAGGACCCCGGCTCGACCAAAGCACCCGCACCAAGCACAAGGCAGCGTGCGGGAATTCTGAGAGGCGTCAAGGCCGAGCCTGCCTGATGGCGTTAGGACTGCCAGTGCGCGGGGTCGGGGCCGGGGCAGTATATGTATATATATATATATATATATATATATATATATATATATAAGTCCTCTCTGGGAACAGACGGAACCTACGGGCGAGAGCCTTCCCACAGTGCTGAGTTTCATGACCGTTGGGGCTCGGCGCTGTGAGCAGCTCGCCGGGTCTCGCTCAGACCCCGACGAGCCCAACGTCGGGACGGCGTGATCCGACCAGTGTCCGCGGAGTCCTGGCTGTGCAGCGAGCCGGCGCGGAGCGACGCTCGGCCCGCGCCCTTCTCCTTCTCCTCCTCTTCCTCCTTCTCCTCCTCCTCCTCCTCCTCCTCCTCCGCCGCCTCCTCCTCCCCTCCTCCTCCCCCTCCCTCTCCCCTCCTCCTCCTCCTCCTCCTCCTCCTCCTTCTCCTTCTCCTCCTCCTTTTCCTTCTGCTCCTCCTCCTTCTCATCCTCCTCCTCCTCCTCGTCCTCCTCCTCCATTCCTTTTCCTTATACATACCTTCTCCCTGTCGCACCCCGAGGCCAGTTTTTAGGGCGGGCCGGGCGTTTCGCCTGAGACTTCCTCACCACTTATGACTCTGAAGCTGAAAATAAAGAGTTTCACAACTGGAGGGCGGGTGGTTCTCAAAATGTGGCTCTCGCCTTAGCGCGGCGCATGTTCGTTTTAACAAAGTGTCAGAGTTTCACGGGTTGAGGGCGGGTGATTTTCAACATGTGGCTCTCGCCTTAGCGTGGCGCTCATTGTATATATATACACATACATAAAAGCGTTTTACATATTGAAGGCAACCCGTCTTCAAAATGTGATTCTCGCCTTAGCGCGGCGTACATTCGTTTCCTTTTTTTTTGGGCATCACAAAACATAGCACATGACAATAGTTTAAGGATTGAAGGCAGCTCCTTTTCAAAATGTGGCTCTCGCCTCAACGCCGCACACATTCGTTTGCAATATTTACAGGAGTTTCACGGATTTCCATCGTCAACGTACCAGAAATCGTGATTTGAAAGAATTCAGGATTACGCGGGTGCAATCGTTACATGGATTCGCTGTGTCAACGTCCCAGGAATGGCGTTCTGGCGCGACACAGGATCGTCAACACGCAACAGTCAGGTTGATCCGTGGCGTTGGAATCCCGAGAACAATGTTTTGGCATGCTTCAGGGTCTTTCAACGGGCGTCTTCCAACGAGGCAGTTCCCTCAATGGAGATGAACAGCTGTAGAGGTCTACGACGAGTGAGCTTGGAGGGAGGGTCTCATCCAACATCGTTGATGACTCTTGGGTTTGCAGTGGGCGTCCTTCTCCTCCCCCTCCTTCGCTCGCCGGCCTCGCCAACGCGTGGTCTACCCTCCTCCTCCTCCTCCTCCTCCTCCTCCTCCTCCTCCTCCTCCTTCGCTCGCCGGCCTCGCCAACGCGTGGTCTACCCGCCTCCTCCTCCTCCTCCTCCTCCTCCTCCTCCTCCTCCTCCTCCTCCTCCCCTCTCCACCCGTTCTGACAGCATGTGCCCAACCCCCCCCCCGCGGATCCAGGGGGGAGGGGGGGGCCGACCACTGTCCCCACCCAGGGTCAGCGGCACAAGCTGAACCTTCGATGGCCCGCGCAGACTTCTTGGATCGGCGCTGCCCCCTCCCTGGCGCGCGGAGCGCGCGCCAGGGCGGCGCCTGCTCTTCCTCGGAGGCCTGGGGACCACGCCGACTGTTCTTATGGACCACGCCACCGACTGCTTACGCCGTCTGTTCTTATGGACCACGCGCGCGCCTCGCGCGCGCTGAGGTTCGGGCGCGCTACATGGCGCTGTCATGAAGCGCACGTGAAGCAGCCCTGGGCCTCCCCCTTGTCCTCCTGGCCTCCGCACCGTGCGGAGGGGCCGCCCGAGGCTCGTTCCATCGTGCCCCCGAGACGCAGCGGGATGGAGGAAGGGATGGGGGGGAGGGAGGGGGGAGGGATGGAAGAGAAGGGAGGGAGCGAGGATCGAGGGGGATCAAAGTTTCGGAGGGATCGAGGAGGGAGGAGGGATCGAGGGATCGAGGGGGATCGCAGAGGGAGGGAGCGAGGATCGATTTGGGTGGCGCAGAAGGGGGTCCAGCTGAAAGGGGGTGGTGCAGTAGGTTTGGGGCCATTGCATTGCAAAGGTACTGCGCCGGAGAATTGTATTGCATTGTATTGCAAATAGTGTCTTACACGCGGAAATCCAGCAATACATTTGCGCCCCGGACCCCCTTGTCGCTGGACCCCCCTTTGGGTCAACCGTAATCGAGGGGGATCAAAATTTCGGACGAAGTTAGGTGGGGGCTCCTGGGAAGCCTCCAGGACCCCCTTGGAAGCCGTTTGAGGGTCTCTGGGGGTCTCTATGGAGATTTCTTCGGCGTATGAATGTGGGGGCGTCATGGAATCCTGTTGGAGGTTGACTGATGGCCCCGGCCTCTGGGAGGCCCCTCTGGGGGCCTTCTTGGTGCCTCTATGGGGACGTTACGCTCTCCACAGCAGAACAGTCGAAAGCCAAGAAACCTAGGGCACCCTGGCATGGGTTTCCACTGTAGCCGAAACTGGCACTGGAGGTCATTCTAATGTAGTTCGACGTCCTGGGGCCGTTTCCAAGCCCCGATGCACGCTTGCGTGTGGACGAAGATCGAAATCCAGGGCAAGCGAATTTGGACGTTTCGAGGGCCCGTGTGGGCCTCCTGGGGCGCCATCGTGGCCACGGCTGGATCCCCTCCGAAAGCCCTGGGTCGAACCCCAAGACAGGTCCAGGAATTGATGCCGCGAACACGAGGGACCGACGGAACCGAGTCAGGAACTTCAGTCAACTGTTATTTCGACACGTCTTCCATACCCACCATTCGGAAGAAGTAGATGGCAACATGAGGTAGGGAGGCGGATTAAGTCGGCTGGGTTCGGGCCCGCCCAAATTAAGAACAAACCAACAAACGAAGCCAACTGCATATCGGTTCTTGAGATAAGGAGGCGCTTGAAGCAGATTGGGATCAGGGAGTCTAGGAATCCATACTTTCAACGGCCAGCGTGTACGCGTGTTGTGCAATGCTGTGGTATCTGCCACCGTGCCATCCGCCACCGTGCTGCAGGCAGGCATTGGTGCTCCCTGAAGGGCCAAGATCCGAACATGCACGGATCTCCTGGGGCTTGTCGCGTGACATTCGGGGCTGGCCGCGTGACTCTCCCAGAGAGCCCGTGGGGGTCGCACTGACGACCGCAGAGGGTCCCACGAGGCCCCTTTTGCGCCCCAGCAGAGGAAGACCCGAAACTGCATGAACAACAACTTTTGGAGGTCCGCGCGGAGCGCCATCAGTTTATGTTTATGGCGTTTTCTCTTCTTCGATTTCGGGCCCCAGGGGGATCATTTAGGGCCCCGAATGGCACCAATAAACACCTTTTTTCAACCCCTCATTTATCGCCCCCCATCACGCAAAGCCCAACCGGTTTGCCGGCCCCCGCGTCCGGCCGTGGAGGCGGAGAGCCCCTGAGGAAACCGCCGCCCCCCCCCCGCAGGTCCGAGACGAGGGCGCCGGCGTGGAACCGTCGGCATGGTCGAGCCGTCGGCGTCATGACGTCGGCGTTCGGCGTCGTGTCTCGGGAAACGTCCATCTTAGTTCCGGGGAAAGGGGGTCTTTCGTCATGGGGTCGCAAGGTCACATGCAATAGTTCCCATTCATCCTGTGGGGCAAGAAACATCCACATGTTGATATTGTAGGCCGTGTGTATCCCGCGCGAATGGTTGCACGAACTCTTGCGCACATCTTCGAGACCTCCTCGCAAAGGACCGATTCGCCCGAATCCGACCATCAGATCCCTAGCAAAAGGGGCCCACAGTCTGAACTGGGAGTCCATCATATTCCATGAAGTCGAAAGCTTGCAATATGATCCCGGATTGTCCGGCTGCAAGGGGCCCAGAATGTGAACCGGGAGTCCATCAAATCCCTGGGAGGGCCAAGAATATGCACGGGGAATCCATAAACTCTTCGGGAGGGGCCCAGAACATGAGCCGTCCACACGGTACTGGATCTCTCCCGGGGTGCGTGCTGGCCAGCATTTCGGGGCGACTCCAGCCGTGATGACGAGGGCTTCCTGGGAGGCCCCAACGAGGCGAAAACGAGGGAAGGGCAGCGGTGTTGGTACCTTTTTTTCCTCCTCCGAGTGACGTTGGCGTCTTCGACGGCTT